TTCTTGGTCCCCTATTGTACTATTCTAATCAAATGTGACTATTTATTTCAAGTTGCAGGATAATACGTCATCTTTCAGGGACCATATACATAATTGTGTGTGGGGGGGTCCTTTTCGCATCAATGAACTATGTTTCTAAACATGTATGTATGTATGGTAATAGTAGCACATTTCTCGATTTCAACACAAGTTTGAGTGAGATTTTTAGATTTTTTTTTAAATAAATAATTGATCTAAAAAAATAAAATAAAATTTGAACTTGTACCCAAACAAGTTCTATATCACTGCACTGTCTTGCCCAAACAAAGAGGGCACATGAACTTGGATTATGAGGTAGTATTATGATGCATGGAGGCTATTGTACATTGTGTCACAAAATGATTTCTTCCCTCAATTATACAAGTTTTCCCCTCATGATTGGATACGTTAGACCTATTATATATAAAGTTTTTAATGTATAAATAAAGTATGTAAATTTTTAAAAAATTTATAAATTTAATCTATATATTAAGAACTTTAGATTCAATAATTAGACTATCAAAATTTAATGTAAAATATGAATTATTGAATGAAATAAGTTTAGGCAAACTTACTCCTGAATTAAACGGATGTCTTCTTTCATATATATATATATATATATATATATATATATATATATTGATAACGAGTAAACATTTAAATTAATTTTTAAATTTGGAAAACATTATTATATTTGTATTTGAAATCAATAAATTGTAAAATAAATCTCTAAAATTACAAATTGACAATTATATTAGTTCAAACCTTAAAAATATTTGTGACTAATGATAATATTAACATATATTCAAAAATATTTAAATTTAAGGGTTTATTTCGCATTCTAAGAACTTATTTAATAATTTCTTAACCCTAAGGATCAACATAATAGTGTGTAACAAATTTAGGGATCAAAATAGATGTTTACTCCATTGATAAGTGACACGACCAAATTATCTATACTAATAATAAAGAAAATACTTGTATTTGTTATACCTGAATTTTAGACAATTTTATCATTCAACTAATTCTAAAAACTATCCTTTAGTTATAGGCATTATTTATATTTGTTAACTATATTTTAATTTTAATTAAAAAACTCAACATCATACACAAAGCTCAAAGTACCTATTTTATAATTAGTATATAAAAGGGACAACAAATTTCACCTTATAGACTAGTTTATGAAGTTGAACTAGACTTAAATTCATATTTTAAGATAATATCAAAATTTATTTGTTATTAAGTTCATTGGACCACCAACAAATGTACAACATGAGAAAAATTATAAATCTTATATTGACTTATAATATGATAAAAATATATAAGTAAAAATTCTCATTTCAAGAGTTGAATCAAACCTATCTAAATATTGTTTTTTTGGATTAATTTGGTGAAAACCCAAAGATATTAATACAATTGTTGTTGGACTTATATATAGAATCACTCATAAATGTCTATGAAGGAATTTTGTTGAAGATTTTTCTATTAGTTAATGATATAATCAAAGTAATGATATATAT